AATCGAATGTACTAAAAATTCCAAAAGTTGTAGAAAAATTCATCACAAAGATAGCTTAAACACTTCTGATTAACACCTTGTATTAATTTGTAAGTACAAATAAATCAAAGTATGATACTTATAGAATTTTTGTAGTGTTCCCTATCTGCACTTCAGTCGGCCCGACATCTGTATGCTGGAGATCTGACTAGGTCAGATCTTTTTATACTTTTATACTTACATTATCTGTAAGTCTATAAAAAGTTTATTTCAGATATTGGGAAAAGCCCACTGCTCCTTTTTTTCCATTTATGTAGCTCAAACTGACCTTGAATTGTGTAACCCAGACTAGTATTGAACTCAAAGCAGCCCTACCTCAAACTCCTGAGTGCTAAGATTACAGCACCATGCTAGGCTCCCTTTTTCCTGCTCATAAAAAATTACCATTTTGAAAATGCTCGATGGTTTAAGTATAATTTGAAGCCCCAATCAGAAGTTTCTCGCAAAATAATTGTGCTCTATTCTTTCATGTCATATGGTCAAGTAACCTGTGTGTTGGCAATAGAGATTTCTCATGAGGAAGAGTGAAGACAAGGGGATCAGACTGTGTCGCTGCTCCCTGGGAACACTGTTAAAATGGGCTGAACTGTGAATGAGAACACAAATTACGCACATTTGTGCCATCATATGCACACTAAAAAAACGCTAGAAGAGAAAATACCGTGCCAACTGAAAAATGAAGCTATAAAAATTGGTAATGGTATATTTTAATCTTTTGTTAAAGCTCGAAATTATAATAACCACCAAATTGAGGTAGTGATAGACTAAAGTATTCCATGTCTCTGAAGTATTTCACTTGTCCCTGCATGTCCCCCTCCAATTATATGAACATAATTCAATGTAAAGTGTTATGAAAGAAAATTTGAGATTATTCAAATAGTACTTAAAAACCTTAATTGCCAGCTTAAAAAAACCGATAAACTATACACAATAGTTCATTTTTTTCTTCCTAGTCATAAATATGTTTTCCTTCAAATGTAGGAAATTAAAAAAGAGGACAAAGATATGATGCAAACATTATGAACTGGTATGTAACAAAGCCACCTGGAACATAACTAGTAGGGAATGATCATAAAAGTTTAGTGTCTAGACGTCCTCTTTGAAGATTTTTATATATAAGTGCTGATTCATATTAAATTTTCTGAAAAGTAACTCGCTTCCTTTTCACTCAATGCAGCAAAACTTACTTCCATTTTAAATCACAAACCAGTGCTATGTGATCAGAAGGATGAGAAACACTAGGTAAGGCCTGATGGGTGGTAACTTCTTCATGACTAGGTAACGGAATCACCTGTTCAACCTCTAACGCATTTAAGTCAATAAAAATGTAATCTAGGCATCCGTGAAAACAACCAACATAATTGGTGTAAGCAGGTTCCCCACAAGCACTTTTCAGTTTGAAAAGGTGTGAGAGAGACATACTGCATCTTTCCTTTTCCCCGTTGGAAGCCCAGTCTTCATGATCCTCTGGAATGCTGCCATTGGTGACAAAATGATACACTCCTGTAGACGGTGTACTATTAAAGTCTCCACAAAATAGAACTGGTAAGCCAGGATACAGCTCACATGAAACATGTCTAATGTGAGCCAAGGCTACTGCCATTTGAACGAGACGAATGTGTCCACCTTTTGGATGCCAGTAGAGATGGGTATTAGCGACACATATCTTTTTAGAAGAGTCCTTTGTAGACTGAAGAACTGAAATCTGAAGGACAGACGCTCTCTGGAGTACTTTACCCAGTGCTAGAGGGTTCAAAGCCAATTTCTCTAGTAGGTCCTTGTGCAGCGGGTCCGACGCCAAGGCTTCCCGGAATGAAATGTCGTGTTGGCTAAGGAGGTTGAACTTGGACTTCCGGTAGAAAGTGGCCAGGCCTTCGTGCTGTTTGATCCGGAACACGCCCTCCAGGCCGAAGGCCTCCAGGGCCGGTACCAAGCTGTCGGTGAACACGGCGCGGTCCACCTCCTGCAAACAGATGAGGTCTGCGTTGTAGCCGGTGAGCTCCTTCTGGATGAGGTTCTGGCGGTAGTCAATCTCCAGAGCGTAGGGCGCACAGTACGGGTAGAGGACGGTCCGGGAGAACTCGGTCTGGGCGCACGTGTCTGCTAGGATGTTGTAGGAGACGGTCCGGATGATGGAGTCCTCCGTCACCTTCTTGGTGTACAGATGCCGATGGTCAAACGTGCAGGTGCCGGGCCCGGCCTCCACGGGACACACGCTCTCCAGCTCGCGGCTGGGCCCGAAGCGCTGCCCATTGCCCGGCGTGCAGTGAAGCTTGAGCCGCAGCCCGATGTCCGCGTTGCACGGGGTGTACACGCGCTCGGCCACACCTGTCTCGGTCCAAGCCGAAGACGGCCCGGGGCGGGACGACGACTCGAGGCCGCCGTCCCCGGGCTCGGCCGCACCGGGCTGGACCTCCTTGTACCAGCGGAACACAGAGTTGGCAGAATCCCCGAATTCCAGGCTGAGTTTGGGGCACACCGGGAAGCCGGCCATGAAGAAGCGCGGCAACTGCAGCTCGGTGAAGGCGGGCGGGTTGCGTTCCACCTTGTACTTGATGTCGCCGATCTGCAGCACCGCGCCGTCCTGCCAGGCGTCCACATTGAGCACGTCGTCCGCCACGGCCTCTTCGCGGTAGTACAGCTTCACCACCGGCTCGCAGGCCGCTGCCGGTTCCGGAGCGCAGGCCGCGCCGCCGCCAGACTGCGCTCGGCTCTTCCGGTTCTTCTTGGCAGCCGCCACCTTAGCGGCGTGGCCCTTCAGGGCGTTGGTAGCGATCCGGCTGAGGACCCGGCCCAGGGGCTCGCTCTGGTCGCGCTGCATTTTTTTGTGGCTGCCGTCGGCCAGCGCGAACGACAGGCTGAGCTTGCGCTCCGAGGGCACGCAACGCACCACCGCCCGCTCCATGGCGCGCGCCGCCTGCTCAGTCGACGCCTCGGGCCGGCTGCGCTGCTCCACCACCGACCGGACCCCACGCAGCACGGAGTGACTCGGACGCCTCCACATGAACCTAGTGGCCGATGAGACCCGAGAGCCAGAGTCGCTCGCCGGTGAACCCGCATGGAGGAGCGGCGGCAACCGGCTCCAAGCCCATTCAGAACGGGGACTTCCGGTTGGCGGCTGGAGAGGGAAGGGCATGTTGTTCCCAATGCGCCCTTTGCCAAAGTCACTCACCGACTCGTTTCTGGCAGAGCCGTCTGTGTCTAGATCGACGCGCCTTCAAATGCTTGGATTTTTATTATCTTCACTTAAGATCTGGTTGGTTCTTTGAATCTGAGACTTCTGAGGGAGGCTGGGTTCTCCTGGGACAGAGGCATAGACCAGGTGTGATGATGACTTTGGCTTCCTACTACTGTTCCACAAATGAGGACTCAGATGTCTCTGTGCCCTGATGTGTGCAGCAGAGCCTGGAGTGTGGAAAGGAGAGCTGCTCTCACTACTGTGGCTTCTGGAGTCTGGGAACATGTGGGGATCCATCTCCTTATAAAGGTCTTGTGGGATTGAATCAGACCCGCCCTACATAGGTGTGTGATGTGAATCAAACAAGATAAACAATAGTTTGCAATTCCATCCCAGGAATTTAAAGCCTGGTTATTTTCGAAAATTGTTGTAAAGCCTGGACTCTCTTGAGAAACCTATAGACATTTTAAAAATCAAAAATCTCAAAGATTTATACTAATTCGTTGATTTCCCCACATGTGGTGAATCCCCTTCAAATAGGCTACTATTTCAAAGAGCAACTAAGATGGAAAATTTTTAAATTCTCATGGAAACTTAATAAACACTCTGTCAAATTGTAACTAATCCACACTACTTTGAGGAGTGGGTTCTAGACAATCTCCTGACTACGTGGGAAAGAACAAAGAAAGAGGTAAGGGCACCTGGTGAAGAGGAACGTAGGGGCCTGCAGTTGGGCAGTGGGGCTGTCTACCTGGTCATGTGCTTTCAAATACAAGGCCCACCTCTTTTGTTGTGGGATGAAGATGAGGGGAGAAATTTGAACAAAAAGCAGTTTAATACAGCAGACGTGGGGTGGAGGAAGTTCTGAATAATGAAGAGGTGTTGATAATGACCAGAGAAACTAGATTACTAAAGAGGATGGAGGAGGTGGAGCAAATCTCCAGATCTCTGGCATAAACGGCTCAGTACCAGAACCCTGTGCGTCAGTAGCAGTGAATTTCAACATGTGTCCTCTTGCCCCAAGAGGATTGGTTTTGGACTTGTTCACAGTGGACTATGACAGGCAGGAAGAACAGTTGTTGGCTGGATTCAGGAAGAGCGGAGGGTGCAGTGATTATGATCTCCCTGTGTCTGTGATTGGCAGGTTCTCCCTGTGAGAGAGCTGGCGACCTCTGCTTTGTATGAACACTCAACTTCTGATGGTTTTGCCCTCTCCCGTGTGGCAACCTTGGAATTAAGGCATCCCTGCTTCTTCTACAGAGCTACAGCGAATCCCACCACCTATGTTGTCAGGGAGGATTCCCTGCTTCCCAGATGAGCAATGTGGAAGCCACCATCCTTTCACTGTCCAAGCCTTCTCCTGCCTTTGTCCCCGAGGATCCCAGCATCTGGCCGCTGTGCTGAGTCAGTGTTGGCAACTCATCCTCAGGAAAGACAAGTAGGGATTCCTTTTCTCTCTTTCAAACCCGTAAAGTTGTACAGAGTTGCAGATGTAGGTATCTTTCTCTAGGGGTGGGAGAGATGGCTGGAGAGAAGGAGGGAGAGTAGGGTGGAAGGAGATTGTAGGATATAGAAAGTCTACTGTACCTTTAACTCCTTATTACTCACTGACATAGGTAAAACATAGATAAAACAGAGTATCCAAGAAACATGTATTTCATTGTTTTTCTTGGTATTCATATATTATATGCATTTATTTCATTGAGTGTGTTTATACTGTCGCGTTCCTACAGGACCATGCTTGACTACACAGGGAACCAGGCAGTCTCATCTACCCATCACATACTATATTTAAACCTGCTAGACACACATTTTGCTAATTATCCCTTATTAGGCTTTTCTTTTAGGCCACAAACCAGTTCCCAAATCATCACATGGAGACTTCTCATTAGCTGTGAATGCTCGGCCCACCTTAAGCTCATTTCTGGCTTGCTCTTTCAGCCTAAATTAACCTGTTTCTCTTCATCTACCTTTTGCCTC